CGGGCCGGGCCGGGCCGGAGGGGAAGGGGGAGAGCCGCCCGGCCGCGCCCGGGGGCTGCCCTCTCCGCGGAGGCCGGTCCCACCTCTGCGCGCTGCCAGTCGCCGGCACTCACCTCGGCTGTGCCTTCCCCGCACCCTCCCGAGGCGCGGCGCGCCTGCCAGAGCCGCCCGTCCTTCCTCTCGCTGCCCTTTGTCTCCGCTGCCTCTCGGCGGTCCTTGTGCTCTCCGCCATCCCCAAACGCCCGTCCGTCTCCCCAGCGGGGAGCACCGGCAGCGTGGCGGGCTCCGCTAGCGCATCCTCGCCCACCTCCAGAAGCAGGACTTGGCCGAACGCACGTACAGTCCAGTGCCGTGCTTCTACTGGCGGCTGATGGCAGCTGCCGGGGGGGGAGCGTAACCGCAGGATAAACGCGCCGCTACTTCTACTAGTGCTGTCCTAGCTTTCGGCTCAGGCACTCTCCCAGCTGGAGGTAATATTCTAGGTTTAACAACTCTTCATGAATTCCCCCCCCCCCCCGCGCCCCACAAATTGCCTAGTTTTATTTTTAGCTCCAGTAAGAGTGTAACGTTCATAGCGTGCATTGAGTGTTCCAGAGCGTAACTACGCATTTCGTGAAGAAACCGCTCTTATTTTAAAAGCGGTGGCAAGGAGCAAGCCACTTTTAGTGATGCTTTTCTCACTTCACATCTGTGAATGCTGCATTAACAACTGCAAGATTCATGAGAAAATTTAAGTACCAAAACCTGTCAAAATGAGTTTCGACCAGTCGTGTGTACGAACAGAGTCTTACAATGTTTGTGGAAACTAAAGAAAGGACCCCTTTTTCACCACAGGACAGCTTGTGAAAAATCACACCAGAGGGCTTGACTGTATTACAAACACATCACAACTCTGGGTGGGGGTAGGTTATTCTTTGAATTGCCTGCATAGGGAACCTTATTTTAAAGTTTCATATACGGCATGATGTTTCACTGGAGTTCACATGAACAAACTACCTTCTCCAAAGGCATTTTTTTCCCTGAAATTAAATGGTTGGGTGTCATATACTGATCATGAATTATGTGGTATAATTGGGTACGTTTTCATCGTGCAGTTCCATTTTTTATACATTGTAGTGGAGTCAGCAAAGGTGTTTTTCACCCAAAACATTTCTAGATACTTGTTTCTCATAAAATAAATTTGTATTGTAGTATCTCTTACTGGGCATCAGTATCTTTCTTCATTTCTGTTTTGTTTACTTGGCCATTTAACACACTTCTGCCTGACATTAAAGGACATGGTAGAACTCATAATAGTTTCCTTTGACTGCAGACACAAGGAAGAAGAAAGAAACTACGTTTGTGGAAAACACCCCAAAGAGAAAGCAGGAGTAGGTATAGAACATAAAATCTCTTAAAATACATCAACACAGATCCTCAAAGCGGTTTTCCTGGTAGAAACCTTTAAATAGACATCTCATTGAGCTGGTGGTCATATAAAAACTATCTTGAACACTGGAAGCTCACCCAAAAAGGCTAAGTCCTGAAAATGGCTGCCAGCCTTCCACTGCTCCCAGGAAAATCTTTACCTACCTCTGGCTCTGGTTGGACAGAGAGCGTGCTCTGAACCTGTTCTCTGCTTTGGTTCTGAGGACAGAGTGCTGGCCTAGATAGCATTTTGACTTCTGCCCTCAAAGGTAAAAACTCCCATGGGTCCCAGCCACTGGAACACATCTGGCAGTTTCTCCTTACTGCTGCGCAGAGGGACAGCAGCAGTTGAGGCCTGAAAAAAAGGCTTCTCCCAAGGCCCTGAGTAGCTAAAAGGCTGAGGACACCTCTCTGTGAGCTGCATAAACATCTGACTTGCGGGTCACGCTCCAGAAACCCACAACAAGATATCCAGTTTACGGGAACCCTTTAATACAGTTCGTTTTCTAGCACGGTAGTTGTAAATTTGCACATGGGATAAAATAAGCTGTAAAAACAACTTAGATAATGTTGTTTTGTAATTTAACCACTATGATTTAAACTGATTAACCTCATTTTGTCTTCCGGCTAGTAATCCTTTTTTTCAACATTGGCATATGCAGAACTAGGTGCAATATATACAGTATTTATAGAGTAAAAAAGCTATTTGTTTTCTTAGAAAAGCACCTACTGTTTTGACAATACATCTGAAAAAAAACCCCAACCTTTAAAAAATGCTAACTAAAGAGTTGGACAAGTCATAATACATTTAGCTTTTGTCCATGGCACTCAAGCATAAAGCAAAAGCTCAGAGATACGTAATCTCTGAGGTAATTCAGTCTGAGAGGAGGATAATTCTACTTGTGTATAAGCCCAGGGGCCCAGTGGTTAACCATCCCCAATCCTTTCTTGGCATTCATTTTTCAAATCAAAATAGTCAAGAAGGCTACTAACTTACATATTTTTCTAGCATCATAAAGTTATATGCCCTAAGGTTAAAATAACAGATTGGGGTTGGAACAGCACAAAGACATAAGTCTGAGTTTCGAAGAGGGAAGAATGCATTGGGGTAGGAACATGCATGGAGGAGACTGGAGGGAGAGAATTTAATTTTGTTACTGGAAATCTGGCGATTCCACATTATTTGTTTTTCAGTGTTCTGAAACAAGCTGAACCTGCAAGAGACCTAAGAAGACGAATTAAGATAGCGGATGAACTAATTAAATAGTTTGTCTTTTCGTTATTGCTGATAATCCAACTATGCCAGAAAAAGTATTCTCGTTCTGTGCTAGAGGAGGTTGCCCAAGCGCAATACTGCGTAGAACACAGATTTGCAAGCGAGCCATCCATTCTCTGGGGAGAAGGAGCTGTAGATGCATATTATGGCATTTTTTCTAGTTGGCCGTGAAACTGATTTTGAGATCAAGAGCTTTTTAAAGGAGAAATGGAATTTAGTTTGTCACGTCTCCAGCTGTGTATCGTAAAAGTTGCATTTATTAAAAGAGAATATTTCTTGTTGCTAGCTCATCAACCACAGGGTTTGTTAATACTAACAGAAGAAATACAACATTATAGGACAGGGAACGGCGAAGGACGTTTCACCTTTCCAGTGCTGTACGTTTAAAAAGTATCAGCAAAACAGTTGTTCTCTGGGTATAACAGAGATACTAATGCAGCAGAAAAGAGGTAGCGACATAAATAACGACACTAATTGTTCTAACATTATGAGGAGCGAGACCAAAGAAGCTCCTAGCCTTTCCAGGAAAATGGCAGGCAAAACTGAACTGTCAGTGCTCAGAAGTCCCTGCTGGTACCGGCCAAGGCTGCAGACTGCAACAGGTTTT